CTGGGGGATTCTAGGCAGGGGCTCTACCACTGAGCCACACCCCCAGCCCCTCACTGGGGGATTCTAGGCAGGTGCTCTACCACTGAGCCATGCCCCCAGCCCCTTACTGGGGGCAAGGGCTCCATCCTTGAGTAATAAATAACACCAAGTGATTTTGAATTGTTGTTTTGATACTGTTTGACGCTGTTGCCCAGACTGGCCTGGGACTCTTGATTCTTCAGCCCATCAGCATCCATGACGCTGGACTGACAGCAGTGCACCGTCACATCTGCTCTCCACTCATTCCTTGGGCCTATTCTCCCTTCACACCTAATGCCATCATCCCACTCACACACCAGGTCCTTGCCAGAAGGTTTAGTCAGGAAATACTTTGGCATCCATGAAATGTCTTCACTTTCTTTCATTTTGCTTTTCACAGTCCACATCTTTTTTTTTTTTTTAATTTTTTTTTGGGGGGGACAGGGGTCTCTCTGTGTAGCCCTGGCTGTGAGGTCCTGGAACTCACTCTGTATACCAGGCTGGCCTCGAACTCACAGAGATCCATTTGCCTCTGCCTCCTCAGTGCTGGGATTAAAGACCTGTGCCACCACTACCTAACTTTGGTCCGTATCTTAAGACACACACACACATCCTCACATCTTGCCTCGGCTCCCGGGGTTGGATTGAATTTGCTTTCAATTTATGCTGGGAAGTCAGGCCCCTCCTTATGAGTATCAAGTGTCTCTTTGCCCAGGCTCTGCTCTATTGAGACCTGACCTGAGAGATTGTTCTGGAGACTGTAAGCTGATGCTTATGAATCTTGCAGATGCATCATGTGGTGAAGCAGCCACTTTGGGGAAGGGTTTTGCCTGGATTCTAAACAACAGGAGGTGTGTCCCTTATCACATAAAAGCAAGAGGCCAGCTGACTACTGGCCTTCTTGGTGACTTACATCCCTGCTGCAGTGGAGAGCTCTGTAAAGCTCTTTTCTGGATGCCCCACCTTTTAATTTACTTTGCATTTATTTTGTGTGAACGTGTGAGAAGATGCCCATGATACAGAATCGGTTTGGAGGTCAGAGGACAACTTGCAGATGTCTGTTCTCTCCTTCTGTCCCCCATGTGGGGGTCCTGGGATTTGGGCTTGGTGGCAAATACCTAGCCCCTAAAGCTATCTTGTTTGTCCCCTGTTTATCCCCTTATCTTATTGGTGGATTCTCCTTTATGAGACAGCTCTACATCCTGGCAAAGCAATAAGCACACAGTGACAAACACACACCTCACAGACTAGATCTGTAACATATCCTATACACTTTGAGCCCGTCTTAGGATAATTAAACACTGGATGAATTTGGGGGTCTCAGATGCACCTCAGTTGACAGTGCATTTCTAGCACACAGGATGCTCTGGGTTCCATCCCAGGGCTGCATACACTCGGCATGGTGATGCATACTGGCAATCCTTGTACTGGAGATAGGCAAAAAGATCAAGACTTCAAGGCCATCCTTGGCTACATAATGAATTCAAGCTCAGCCAGGGCTACAGGAGATCCATCTGAAGAAAAACAGATTAGTGCGTTCCTCTTTTTTGCTTTTTTTTTTTTTTGTTTTTGTTTTTCTTTTTCGAGACAGGGTTTCTCTTTATAGAACTCACTCTGTAGACCAGGCTGGCCTTGAACTCAGAAATCCACCTGCCTCTGCCTCCCAAGTGCTGGGATTAAAGGCGTGCGCCACCACCGCCCGGCTTAGTGCGTTCCTGTTTATCAAGCAATACACACTAAGGATGAGCAAAGGGAGTCCAGAGAGAAGGATCCACTCTCTGCACGAGGGATAACATTTGGGAAGCCCTGTCACGGATTGTCACCTTTGTTTTTTGGAAGTCTTATTTCAGGGACTGAATTTCTCTATTTAGCCTTTCATTCTGGAGCTGAGATCCTCAGGAACTAAGAAGGGTCCATGAAAGCCTGGAGTGTTCAGCCAGGGTTGAACCTGGCACACTGGCATGGGTCTGTAATCCCATCACTTGGGAGGCTGAGGTAGGAGAATTGTAGTGAGTTAGAGGCTAGCCTGGGTTACAGAGTGAGACCCTGTCTTAAAAAAATATTCAATTAGAGGGCTGGAGAGAAGGTTCACCGGCTAGGAACACTATGCAAACACACCACTATTTAGTCTTCCAGAGGACCAGATTTCTGTTTCTAGCATCTACAAGGGGGGCTATCAACTGTAACTCCAGTTCTAGAGGCTCCAATACTCCGTTCTGGGGCCTCCACAGACATTATACACACAGGGTATATACATGCAGGCAAAGTATATGCATAAAATAAAACCCGCCTAAAATAAACTAAATCAACCAACCAACCAGTGCTGGGTATGGTGGCAGGCACCACTGAGGAGGCAGGGGCAGGTGGATCTCTGAGTTTGAGTTAACCTGGTCTACAGGAACATAGCAAGTTCCAAGCCAGTTAGGGCTAAATAATGAGACTCTGTCTCAAACAAACAAACAAACAAACAAACAAACATATATATCAATAGGTTTTCTTTCTCCTAGGGTTGTTTCCAATGTGCAGCGACATTCCTGCCTCAGCCTAAATTTGGGGTTACCCGTGTGAGCCACGGTGCCCAACTACCTTGCCCAGTTTTGCTCCCATGAGGTAAGCATCTAGGATATTCCCTCTGCCTCCTTTCAGTATTTATATAAAACACTCCTTGGGGTTGGGAGAGTAATCTGTGTTAGCCTATATCATATGTGTGAGGACCTGGGTTCAATTCCCAGCACCACCTAAATAACTCCACACCAAAACCAACATACACACACACAAAGAATTTGGAAAAGGGCCGTGAGAAGCATAGGACACGTCACAGGCATCTTCAAATAAGTTTGACATTCATTTAAGTTCCCTGCTCATGGATAACGACAGCGAGGCCATAGAGTTCCCAAGTCTTGACTTTCATGTAGAAGTAATCATCTGCCAATAGTAAACATGGCTGCATTTCCCTTAGCGCTTTGCCTTCAGCCAGTAGTAAGCATGTCCGTATCTACTTCCGCTAGGCTAGAGGTCAAGGGTGACACAAGATGGCGGCGCCCATAAGCGGTTGAGGCGTGAAGCGGAGGATGTTGGCGGCGGCCCGGGCTCTGCTGGGGCCGCGCCTGAGGTGGCCGGTACCGGTTCGCGAGCACTGGAGACCGGCCGGCCGTTCACGGAGCCGGCGAGAAGCGGCCGAAGCCGAGGCGGACGCCCCAGTGTTCCAGTACGTGGGCGAGCGCGCGGCTCGCGCCGATCGCGTGTTCGTATGGGGCTTCAGCTTCTCCGGGGCTCTCGGAGTGCCCAGCTTCGTGGTGCCGTCCTCGGGGCCCGGACCGCGCGCCGGCCTGCGGCCCCGACGCAGGATCCAGCCGATACCCTACCGCCTGGAGTTGGACCACAAGGTGAAGGCCCTGGCATCCTCGCTGCCCCCTTAGGGGACTTTACTTTCCTGCGTGGCCGGATTTCCGGGAGCTTGACCTCCTAGATCCCGGGATTTGCTGAGGAAGGCATGACGGGTGGCTGCCAAGAAGACTGTTTATCTCAGCTGATGAGCTGGTTTATGACGTCTGAAGAGTTTTGTGTCTTTCTCAGCATTTTCTGTGTGCTGTTTGCTTGTGGTTAGAGAAAGTTTTGTGTCTTCACTTACTTCTTGCACGGTTGCATAACTTGATAATCGCACCAAGTGTTCTGCCCTTCTTAGAGCATTTGCTCAGTACCCCAAAAGGCTGTAGCTGTCACCTCCCACTTAGAGGGGTTGAAAGGGAGTTCCACAGAGGTCAAGTAGGGCCCAGGGCCCCACTGCTGGTAGGATGTAAATGATGGTATTTTACTCATCAGACTCGACAGGCTCCGTGAGGGAAGGAAAATTCCGAAGGTCGGAGATGCGTTGGCTAGAGTGAGTGATGGGCAGCTGGGAAAGGAGATGTTAGTCTGAGCAGTTGGAGAGAAAATGGGAGATTGCATATGGTGTTTAAAAAGGGCTCAGGTGGCCCACCTCACACCTATAGTCCCAGGACTTGAACTACACGGTTTAGACAAGAGGATTGCCACAGGTTGTACGCGGGCTTTGGTTACACAGTGAGACCCTAGCTTTACCGTTGAAATGCTGCTTTTACAGCCGTGTGTGACCATTTCTGGTTTAAGTGGTGCTGGGGACGGGGAACCCGAGGGTTTCTGCCATGCAAGCATTGTGTCAACTGAGCTACTCCCCCACCAACCCCCCTTCCAGTTATCTTTTGTATACAATGTGAGACGAAGGTCTTTTTGTTTCTAGCTACCTGGTTGTGCTCACATCTTTAGTTGGGAAAAAAAAAACCCTTTCTTTTGGTAGCAATAAAAAGTATATATTTATACTTTATAAAAGTATGGTTTGTGGTGGTGAGAATCAAACCCAGGATTATGTTTCATTGATAAAGGCAAGTGTTCTATACCACTGAGCTATACCTCCAAGACCTACAGGTTTTTTTTTTGTTTGTTTGTTTTGTTTTTTTTTTTTTTGGTTTGGTTTTTCGAGACAGGGTTTCTCTGTGTAGCCCTGGCTGTCCTGGAACTCACTCTGTAGACCAGGCTAGCCTCGAACTCTCGAACTCAGAAATCCGCCTGCCTCTGCCTCCCAAGTGCTGGGATTAAAGACATGCGCCACCACCGCCCGGCAGACCTACAGTTTTTAATTTTTTTTTTCTGATGTGTGTGTGTCTTCTACTTTGTAACATTGCTGCAGTTGTTAAGTGGTTCTATAAATTAAAAACAGTTTTTTGCTTTTGGTTTTTGTTTTTCAAACAGGGTCTCTCTGTGTAGCCCTGGCTGTCCTGAAACTCACTCGGTAGACCAGGCTGGCCTCGAACTCAGAAATCTGCCTGCTTCTGCCTCCCAAGTGCTGGGATTAAAGGCGTGCACCACCACTGCCCGGTTTAAAGACAGTTTTCTATGTGTATGGAGTCTTGCTCGCATACATCTCTGTATCATTGTGTGCCTGGTGCCAATGGAGGCCAGAAGGGGCTGTTGGAGCTGTAGAGCAGGAGTTACAGGCGGCTGAAGCCGTCTCTCCAGCTTGTGTTCCTTTTTTTTCAAGACTGGGTCTCCCTATAGATAGCTCCTGGAACTTGCTCTGTAAAGGAAACTAGCCTCGTAACTGACAGAGATCCACCCACCTCTGCCTCTTGAACTTGAATTAAAGCCACCAGACCTGGCTCCAGCCCCTGTTCTTACAGATTTTTGTGTATTTCTTAGTATTTTCTATGTTCAGGTTGCCTGTGATGGAGGTAGTTTTACAGACTTGTTTCTAATCGGATGCTTATTGTCTTTTCCTTGCTTGGTTTAATGGGGTGGGACTCTTATTATAGTGTGAAATTGGATTAGTAAAAGCTATTTTTTTATTTTGTTTTTTGAGACAGAGAGTTTATATGTAATCCAAGTTGGCCTTAATCTCAGTGTGTAGTCCTGACTGACTTTAACCTTGTGATCCTCCTGCATGCTGGGATTGCAGGCGTGAGACACCAGACCTGGTCTTGTATGATTCTTGCTTGTGGGGAAGATATTCATGAACCTCTCTGTAGACTGTGACTGGAAGTCCCCTCCTGCTACATTATCATGTCAGGCTCACTCTTTAGCTGTCTCTGTTAGATACTGCTCAAAGCTTTTCACACACGAACAGAATTAATGGCACAGTGTGCCCGTCAAATGTTTGTTGAGTGTTAAATAAACAGGCATCACTAAGCATGAGAATAATCTTAGTGTGCTGGGCATAATTTTTAGACTCTCTCTCTCTCTCTCTCTCTCTCTCTCTCTGTGTGTGTGTGTGTGTGTGTGTGTGTGTCACTTGCATACCCACAGAGGCCAGCAGAAGAGGGCATGGGATCCCATGGAACTGGAGCTACAAACAGTTGTGAGCAGCCACACGGGTGCTGGGAATTGAACCCGAATCTTTTCTACTTCCTCTCATTCGGTCCAGTTAGCTTCAGCCTCCCTTGTAGACCATCTCTGTCGATCTCAAGCCATGTCAGAAGTATGATGGCTCTAGGAGGCTAGAACTGCAGCACTGCAAGGTGTGGTGGCCCATGCCTTTGGTCTCGGCATCTCTGTGGGTTCAAGGCCAGCCTGATCTACAGAGCAAGTTCCAGGTCAACTAGGACTATACAGAGAAATTCTGTCTTGAGAAGAACCAAAAAGAAAGAAAGAGAGAAAGAAAAAAAGAAAGTTTGTTTTGAGTGTTTTGAGCAGGATGATGGTATATATGCCTTGTATGAATCTTAGAAGGGAAACTGTCACATGGTAAGAAGAGGGACATGTCACTTATGAATGACATGAGTAAATAAAACATCAACAAACTGTAGTAACATATTTATCTAAGAAAAGCTGGGGAGATGGTTTAGCAGTTAACAACTGGAAGGCACCTGAGTTTCTGTCTCACCGTCCCAGTGGGGTGGCTAACAGTCAGCTGTAACTCCAGCTCCAGGGAATCCAGCACCCTCTTTTGGACTCGGAGGGTATCTGTATGTGTGTGTGCATATGCACACATAGACACAGACAGACACGTAAATAAAAACGATAATTAAAAAAGAAATAGTTAGCTAGAATGAAAAATGTTCCTGGTCAGTTGTGGCACAGGTCTGTAATGGCAGCAGTTAGGAGGCTGAGGCAGGAGGATTATGAGGAGTGGTACTCTGGCATTTTTGTTTAGGATTCAGTGAGATTTAAAGGGATTCTCTGAGTTGGTTCTTGGTTCTCTGACAAACTGTCAACAGCTGAGAGACAGTGGGAGAACCTTAGGCTAAGGAGTTTATAATGTGTGCTAGAGAGGACTTGGGGCATTAAGTGTAAAACTGAGGTGATCCCTGCCAGGGGAGTGTGGCTACTCTGGGGAGTGTGGAGAGGTTTGTTAGGAATACAGTAAGTAACAGGTTTGGGTAACCTCTGATCCCAACTAGATTTAGCTCTCCCACTGTGGAGAAAATTTAAGAAGCCCGCCGCCGTGGCGGGTCCCACATTCGGGAGGGGACCCTATGGTTCCAGCGGCCTGAGGGCCTTGGCGGCGGCAGGCCCCAGTAACACGAGGAAGTCCTTGGTTCCAAAAAGGTTTATTGTCATGGAGGATGATAGATGGATCTAGGCGTACCCCCAAAAACTCAGGGCAGTCCCGAGTTATATAGGGAGGGAGAAAGGGGGAGGATTGGAGGAGGATCTGGGGGAGGCATGTTTAATTTGCTCTGCCCTCTGGCCTTCATTAGTATGTAAATCCCTAGGGCCTGAGGCCTATAGCCTGGCCTATGTGACTCTATGGAGACCGTGACTGACTGCTTTTCAGGATCCTGGATGATGGGGGGGACCGAACTCCTGCCGGTTCTCGTGCAGAATTCCACGCAGAATCTCGGGGTTCTAGGCACCTGCTCAACCATGACCTAGGATACCCTTACGCAGTCCCACATCCCACCAGAAGTAAAGTTTCAAGTTGAGTTGCCTCCAGTCACTGGAAGTGAGGATTGGTGGTTTAAAGTTCATGGTAGCCATTGCAATGCCTTTGTGTGGTCCCAGGCTGAGGAGTGTCGCATGGGCAGCCCTCTGGAAGGAGAAACCCTGCACTCTGACAGGCAAGTCGCTTAAGCTCCGGGACCTTGCTTTTTCTCCTGACAGAGTAATTTTCATGAGTCAGATGCTGTTCACCACAAAGGTTTTGGATGTATGAACTCGTTTCTTGTTGGTAACAACCAGTGAGGGGTGTGCTTTTCTCCTCTCATTTGGAGTGGGTGCGCCTATGCTTGCATATGCAGAGGGCAGGCTGTCTTCCTCTATAGCTCTCTGCATTATTCTTTTGAGACAGGCTCTCTCACCGTGCCTGAAGCCCTTGTACTTGTTGGGCTGACTGGTCAGTGAACTCCTGGGAGTCTCCTGTTTCTTCCCCTGAGCGTACAGATACCACATGCAGTCATGCCACATGGATCTGGGTTCCGGCCCTTATGCTAGCTGAATAAGGGTTCTTACCCACTGAGTCATTTCTCCAGCCCCTCATTCCTTTAGAAATGTTTGAACATTTTATTCATTATTCAGGATGTGTGTGTATACATGTGTGTGCACATGCTTGTGTGTCAGCACACGTGTAGAGGTCAGGGGACAGCTTGCAGGAGTCAGGTCTCTCCTTCTACCATATAGTTCTGGGGATTGAACTGAGGTCCTCAAGCGTAAGTGGCAAGTACCTTAATGTCCTAAGTCATCTGGCTGGATGACTTGTTGCCCCTTTTATACAGAGAACTGTCTAGAGAGGATAAACAATACAGCTCTAGCCACATAGCTGGTAAGGGGTGGAGCCAAGATTCACAGTAAGTGAGGCCTTCCCTCAGCTGCCATTCTGGACTGTATTGTGGGAGGTGAGATGGAAGTGCCCAGTGTGTGCTGTGTGTACAGAGAAAACCGATGATGGCCTCGAATAGCAGATGGGGCGAATCCTAATCGCTGTGGGAGGCACACGTGTGTGTGTGTGTGTGTGTGTGTGTGTGTGTGTGTACAGAGAAAAACCGGTGATGGCCTTGCATAGCAGATTGGGGTGAATTCCAGTCATTGGGAGGTACACACACTCGAGTATGTAAGTAGCTGGTCACATCTTGCTGAAAGCATCAGTCCGTGGTGCATTGTGGGAACTCTTTTTCAGATCTCCTCTGCTGCCTGTGGCTATGGATTCACACTGCTGTCCTCAAAAACCAAGGATGTTACCAAAGTCTGGGGTATGGGACTCAACAAAGATTCGCAGCTGGGATTCCACAGGAGCCGGAAGGATAAAAGTAAGCAGGTATCCTTGCCATAAACTACAACGACAAATAACGGGGGAGGGTGTTGGTGTAGGCCTCTAATCCCAGCAAGGGAGGGGCTAGGGAGGAGGAGCTTGAGATATCTTGGGCTACATAGTGATACCATGTCTTAAAAGCTCAAGAGCCGAATGCTGGGCTAGTGACTCATGACTTTCATCCCAGTCCTTGTGAGGCAGAGGCAGGAGGCCTCTGAATTTGAAGCTAACCTGATCTACAGAGTGAGTTCTAGGACTGCCAGGGTTATACAGAGAAACCTTGTCTTGAAAAAAAAAAAAAAAAAAAAAAAAAAAAAAAAAAACCAAACCAACCCCAAATCCCTCAACCCCTGGATTAAATTATTTTTCAGTCTCTGGTAACAACGTGGACCATCTAGGCAAAAAAGAGACAAAGACCTGCTATTCGCTGACCTGTAAAGACTGCAGTTTGCCCCTTTGTGCTCTGAAATGTCTGGAGTGGATGGCTCAGTGGGTCAAGGCACTAGCTGTCATGCCTGACCTGTGTCTGGTCCCTGGGACCAGGGAGGCAGAGGAGAGAACCTCCTTAAAGCTGTCTCTGACCTCCACACACACGCTGTGGAACATGTGAACCTGTACACACACTAGATAGAATCTGAAAACATTTAAAAACTTGAACAAAATCCTTAAGACAGAGATTTATTCCCAATGCTTGAAACTCGATAATGTTAGACAGGCTGGAGAGATGCCTTAGCAGTTAAGGGCATGTACTGTTCTTCTAGGGGACCTAAGTTTGCTTTCCAGCACCTATATCAGGCAGCTCAAAACTGCTTGTAACTCCAGCCCCAGAGGGCCCAGCACCCTCTTTTGGTCCCCTCAGACACCACACTCATGTGTATACACAGAGTGACATGCACATACACATAATTGGAAATAAAATAAATCCTTTAAAAAATGTTAGAAAAGGTCAGGTATGGTGTCGTACACATTTAATCTCAGCCCTTGGGAGGCAGGTAGATCTCTCAGTTTGAGGCCAGCCTGGTCTACGTAGTTCTAGGCTAGCCAAGGCTATATAGTGAGACCCTGTCTCAAACAATAAAAAGTTAGAAGTAATCTAAAGTTCCTTCTTGCTGTCTGTCTGTCTGTCTGTCTCTTCCTCTTCATCTTTTGAGACAGGGTTTTTCTATGTGACAGCCCTGTCTGGCCTGGAACTGACAGAGATCCACCTGCCTCTGTTTCCCGAGAGCTGAGATTAGAGGTACGAGCCACCATACCTAGTCAGTAGAATGGTCAAGCACAGCCCTCTACTTTCTGTTCTTACAACACTGTCTGGCTTCCATCCCCAGGACAGCATAACTGCGGGTGTGTGTCTGCAGTCCCAGGCCTTGGGAAGTAGAGGCAAGAGGACTTGCTGTGTAGCTCGATGGCCTTGAACTCCCGATGCTCCTGCCTTTGCCTCTTGTGTGTGTTTCCAGGTGTGTGTGCCATGGTGTGTATGCGGAGGTCAGAGGACAACTTGTGGGAGTTGAATCTCTGTACCATCTGAGTCCTGAGGACTGAACTTGGGTTGTCAAGCTCGCTGACAAGTGCCTTTACCAGCTGAGCTGTTTTTCTGGCTTGGCCTTTGTCTCCTGAGTGCTGGAATGACATGCCTAGCTGTGGCACTCTTGAAAAAGAAAAAAAAAAGAATTGTTTTTTCTTTTATTTATTCCTTAGTCCTTTTAGACTGCTTCCTTCCTTCTCACAGTTTTAGTTTAATCTCTCTCTCTCTGTCTCTCTCTCTGTCTCTCTCCCCCCCCACCCCGGGTGTGTATGTATGTGTGTGTGCGCGTGCGTGTGTGTTTTGCTGATGATCAAACCCAGGGCCTTGTGCAGCTAGACTCTTGGCCCACAAGACTGGTTTCTTTATTCAGGTTTTATTGAAACTAGGTCTCAATCTGTAGCTCTCCTGCCTCAGCTTCCTGAGTCCTGGGACCATCAGGGTTAACTCTCAAAATGTGTTTTCTTTTTTAAGATGGAGTCTTGTGTAGCCCAGGCTGGTTTTGAGCTCACTGTTTGGCTGAGGATGACCTTGACCTTTAGATTTCCTTGTCTCAGAGTTTATGTGGTGTGGGGGATGGGGATGGAACCCAGGATTTCGTGGTGCTGGGGAACTGCTCTATAACCGAGCTCCAGCCCCAATCCCAGAGATTTCTCTCAGGAGGCAAGTCCAGTGTTGAGGACCTGCCTGTGGCATGGAGGGTGCAGGCTGGGAGTCAGGCTTCTCAGACTAGCTGTGTCCTGAGTGTGCAGGCTGAGTCACTGCTGTCAAGTCCCTGTATAAATCAGTGCGGTTGGTTGGGGAGTCAGGTTTCTGTATGAGCTGATGTGACGGAACCAGCGGCAGCCTTGTGACCGGGTGCTTCTGTCCAGCCAGGGGCTATGAGTACGTTTTGGAGCCCTCGCCTGTCCCGCTGCCCCTGGACAGACCTCAGGAGACAAAGGTGTTGCAGGTGTCCTGTGGTCGAGCGCATTCCCTTGTCCTGACAGACAGAGAAGGTGGTGAGTAGGCTTGCAGGGGGGAAGAGGAAGAAGAGGAGGAAGAGGAAGAAGGGGAGGGGAAGGGGCATCTGTGACACCGGCCTTGCTCTTGGGTACCTCCTGATTGCTGTGATATGTGGTGTTTCCCCAGCCGACTGAGGGGTGGCTTCAGAGGGAGGGTATCTGGTGTTACACAGACTTGCTAACACTTCTATGTTCTCCGATGGAATGCTGCTACCCACTCTACCACTGAGCCCTACCTCAGCCCTTGATTTTTTTTCTAAGATTTTATTTTTAATTTTTATTCACGTGTCTTTGTGTATATTTGAGTGTATGCTATATGCATGTAGTACCTGCATGGGCCAGAAGACAGTATCAGGTCCTCTGGAGCTGGCCAGTTGTGGCTGCCAGTTGTGGGTGCTGGGAACTGAACTCAGGTCCTCTGAAGAGCACCTAGCTCCTAAGTGCTGGACCATCTCTGCAGCCTGGCCTGGTTTTATTTTTTCCTGCTTTTATTTTTAATTGCGTGTAATATGTTTATGTCCAAGCATGTGTTTGTAAAGGTTCTATGCATGCTAATAATGGTCACGGTGCAGGCATCAGCCTGAAGCACCCAGCTGAGCAGAAGGCCCGTCTACCGCTGGATTGTGGGTCTCCGGGGTCACAGCAGTGGATTATGAAGATCTAGAAGAGAAGCAGGCCCAGGCCCTGCCACACTCATGGGCTACTGTGGAGGCTGGGAGGCTGGGAGGCTGGGAGGCTGGGAGAGGGGACCTAGGGTGAACGAGGGTGAGGCCAAGAACCTCAGAACTGACCTGCCGGCCTGGCTGTGCTGTGTGTGCTTCAGTCTTCAGCATGGGGAACAATTCCCACGGGCAGTGTGGACGCAAGGTGGTGGAGGACGAAGTATACAGGTGAGCGGATGCACAGAATGCTGGGGAGGGAGCCCTTACCTCAGCAGAGGCCCAGCATTTATAGGGTGAGAGGGGAGGGTGGAAGAACATTGGTCATGATGTAGAAAGCTGTTGCTTAGTGTGTGTATGTGTGTGTGTGTGTGTGTGTGTGTGTACACATACATGTCCTCACCTCATGTGTAGAAGTCAGAGGATCATTTTCAGGAGTTGGTTCTCACCTTCCACCATGTGGCTTCTGGGATAGAACTCAGGTTGTTGGGTTTGGTGGCCTGTGCCTTGACCTACTGAGCCATCTTGCTAGGCCCCTCTGTTTTTACTGGAACATGGTTTCTCTGTGTAGCTTTGGCTGTCCTTGAACTTGCTTTGTGGACCAGGCTAACCTTGGAAGGAGCTCAGAGATCAGCCTGCCTCTGCCTTCTGGGTGCGGGGATTAAGGCGTGCGCCACCTTTCTTTCATTTCAGGCTCTATCATTTTTCTTGAGAAAGGGTGTCACTTTATATCTTTGGTGGGCCTAGAAATTTCTGTGTCAGCAGGTTGGCCTTGCACTTAGAGATTCACCTGCCTCTGCCTCCTGCGTGCTGGGATTAAAGTGTGTGCCATTATGTCTGGCTATTCTATATTTTTGTAAAATGTTCACTTTATAAAATTAACTTTAAAAAAATTCCCCCTTGTTTCACTCTTTTTACTTTAGTGTTGAAAATATTTTCCCAAGTCAGACAGAGTAGTACATGGCAGCAGTCCTAGTGTTTAGGAGTTATGGGCTGGAGAGGTAAAAGTTCAAGGCCTGTCTGGGCAGCGTATGCAGACCTTATCTCAGAAGATACAAATGAAGAGTCAGGAGGCCAGTCAGGGTGTGCTGGGGCAGAGCAGGTGGATCTGAGTTCTAGGCTAGCCTGGTCTACAGAGTGAGTTCCAGGACAGCCAGGGCTACATAATAGAGAGAAATGTAAGATTTTCACCTCGAAGCTCGGACAGATCACAGCAGACCAGACGGTTCCACGAGGGGAGGCCTACTAAGAGGGAGAGAGAGCGGGAGAGGTAGAGTAGAGGCTGGCCATGACCACATGGAGAGAGGGGACAGCGAACCTGCAGGCAGGGATCAACGGAGTAAGAGAAGAACAAGAGAGAGAGGAGGGGGCAAGCAGCCCCTTTTATAGTGGGCAGACCTACCTGGCTGTTGCCAGGTAACTGTGGGGAGGAGCATACCTGGCTATTGCCAGGTAACAGTGGAGGTGGAGTTTAGACAGAATACTAACAGACCCTGTCACAAACAAACAAACAAACAAACAAACGTGACTTTGGACTGCAGTTCCTTTGTTGAATAGTTAACTCTTCTCTCTCAGTACGAATCAGGCATGGCTCAGAAGTAGAGCAGTTGTCCAAGGCTCCCATGGTAGCAGCTAGGGTAGTGCTAGGCTGGCATGCCTGAGACCTGGGTCCCGTCCTGGCACCATAAAAATGCAAGCAAACAAACCAGCTGAACAGATGCTCGGCAGTGAAGAGCACTTACTGCTCCTGCAGAGGACTGGGCTTGTGTTCCCAGCACTGTGTTGGACGGCTCACAGCCACCTGGAACTCCAGCTCCAGGAGAAAGCACGCCTGTGGCCGGGCTGCCCAGGGCACCTGTACACTTTCGCACTCACACACACACACACACACAAAAACTCACAGACATGGCAACCTCAGCTGGCTGCCCAACATTGGACCTTGAGAGCTGTTCTGTCTGCCCTGTGTGTGTGGTGATGTGACTGCTGGTAGGGGGGACAGGAGGTAGGTTGCTGGGTGGGGCCCAGCCTGTCCCATGCTCACGGTTGCATCTTTGCTTCTCTTGCACTCTGCTCCTGACTGCAGCGAGAGTCACAAAGTGCACAGGATGCAGGACTTCGATGGCCAGGTGGTTCAGGTAAGAGGCTTGGGCTGAGGACCCCAGGCCTGTCTTCTCAGGCACTTTTGAAAGGTTGAAAGGTGTACAGGATGATGTTACATTTGTCATTGGGCTTTTCTGGCTGTCTTAAGGGTGCTATTGGTGTGATAAAACACCATGACCATAAGCAACTTGGGAAAGAAAGGGCGTATGCAGCTTTCACTGCTGCGACACTGAGGAAGTGAGGACAGGAACCTGGAGGCCGGAGCTGATGCAGAGGCCATGGAGGGATGCTGCTCACTGGCTGGCTTCCCGTGGCTTGCTCAGCCTGCTTTCTTAAAGAACCCAGGACCACCAGCTGGGGGTGGTTCCACCCACCAATGGCTGGGCCCTCCTCCATCAATCACTAATTAAGAAAATGCCCTACAGTCTCTGCTACAGCCCAGTCTTCTATTGGGCTCCCTCTGCTCTGATTACTGTCACTTGTGTCAAGTTGACCTAAAGCCAGCCAGCACACTGGCTGAAGAGATTAGTAGAGATTAACTCAGCACAGGCCAGAACTGATGCTAGAATATAGGAGCAGGGAGGAGGTGAAGGGGGCACAGCAGGTTAGACGTGAGGCTGCAGCAGAGGCGAGTTCTCTCTCAGTGTGAGTTCAAGTCCCTGCTCCTCCACTTGCAGAGTGGCTTTGGGTCAGTCACTAAGCTTCAGTGGTTCGTTTGTGAGGGGGTCTTGACTGTTGCTTTAGCACAGATCCTGGCCAGACAGCTGTCCTGTGAGTTAGGAACGGAGCGTGGTGTCTTACTGTCCTGTAGACAGGCTGTAAGGTTGTGTGGGGTGCAGGAAAGCCTCGGGGTGGACAGTGCCCTACAGGGAAGTACGGAGGGGGAGAGGCTGAGGTCACAGAGTAGACAGGTGGGGAGGGCATATGGGCGCCCAGAGTGGGGCTGAGGAGGGAGAGCTGTCGGCCTTGCTCCTTAGGGTGTCTGCACTTGGTCTCAGTGAGTGCAGGGGTGGCGAGGGTAGGCTGGATGGCTTCAGAGAGGGTAACCTGTGAAGGTGAACTGGGGTGAGCACCTGATCCAGCACTCTCTTTGTGGGCCTGGCTGCGTAGACTCCAACAGCACCCTGTCTCTGTGTCTGCCAGGTTGTCTGCGGTCAGGACCACAGCCTGTTCCTCACAGACAAAGGTGAAGTCTATTCTTGTGGATGGGGAGCCGATGGACAGACAGGTAGGTGTTTCTTGGCCCTCTGGGGAGGTGCAAGATCTTGGCCTGTGGCCTCGGCAGCTGTTGTGGGCTGTAGGGTTCATGGTCTCCATTTGGGTCTTCTGGGGAATGCCATCTTTTGCATCCTTTCCTGTTCCTTTTGCTGCTGGTTTCCATAAAAACGAACCAAGGTGTCAGAGGCTCCTCTGCACTGTTGTCAGTAATGGAGCCCTGGGCCTCATTTCCTTGCCTGGAGTCTGGAGGAGCAGCCGGGCGGTGGTGGCGCATGCCTTTAATCCCAGCACTTGGGAGGCAGAGACAGGCGGATTTCTGAGTTTGAGGCCAGCCTGGTCTACAGAGTGAGTTCCAGGACAGCCAGGACACCCTGTCTCGAAAAAAAAAAAAAACCCAAAAAAGTGCTTCCCATATGGCTGGGATGCAGCTGCATCCCAACCACTGCAACCCAAAGAGCAGCAGAAAGGAGAAAGACAGCAACTGCTTATAATTCATGTAAACTTGATCATATTGTGTTATTTTATCTTCCAAAGTTTTCTAAGTTAACTTTTGGGGGTTTTGTTTGAGGATCTACTTCCCTCCCTCCCTCCCTTCCTCCCTTCCTCCCTCCTTCCCTTCCTTTTTGACACAGGGTCTTTCTATTTAGTTCTACTTGTCCTGGAATTGGCTATGTAGACCAAGTTGGCCTTGGCCTTGACCTTGAATTCAAGAGGCCTCCTGCCTGTCTCCTGAGTATTGGGATTAAAGGTGTGCACCACCACATGTCGAAGGTCTGTTTCTAAGTCTGTGCTGAAACTACAGTATAGACCAAGCTGGCTTAGGACTCACAGTGTAGCCCAGGCTGTCCTGGAACTCATGATCTCCCGTCCTTAGTCATCTTGATTTAGACCTAGAAATTCTAGGGTGTTAAAATATGCCAGCTATGGGTATTTTTGTTTTGTCTTCTCTGGGGCAAAGTGCCACCCATGAGCTTGTCCTTCCCTAAGTCTCCTGTGTCTGTGAGTTAATGCACTGTTTCCTCCTGTGCTAGGCCTGGGTCACTACAACGTCACCAGCACACCCAGCAAGGTGGGTGGAGACCTTGCTGGAGTGACTGTTGTCCAGGTTGCCACCTATGGTGACTGCTGCTTGGCTTTGTCCGCTGATGGAAGTGTCTTTGGCTGGGGAAATTCTGAGTACCTGCAGCTGACCTCAGTCACAGACTCCACACAGGTGCGTAGGCAGTGGGAGCTGAGCTCAGTGGAGAGGTGTGCTTCAGGTTAGCCTAGTGTCATGCTGCCTCTGCTCTGTCATCTCCTTCCAGCCCCAAAAGAAGAGGATTGAAAGCCAAAGGTGACCAGCTGGCCCTGGTTTAAGACAGTGTTTTATTTTTGTATGCTTTTCATTGTGTGTGTGTGTGTGTGTGTGTGTGTGTGTGTGTGTGTGTGTGTGTATGTGTGTGTTATGCATGCATGTTTTGTGCATGCGTGGATGTGCATGGATTTGGAGGCCTGTGGTAGATGTTGGGAACTATCCTTGATTGTTAGTCCATCATGTTGCCTAAGGCAGGGACTCCTAGTCAAACTCAGAGTTTGTCAGTACGGTTTGTCTTGCTGGCCAGCTCACTCTGAGTTTCCCTTATATTGGCCTTCAGAGGCTGGAGTCACAGACAACTTCTCTGGCATTTATGTGTGTCTACAGATCTAATTTCCAGTCCTCATGCCTCCAGGTAAGCACTTAACCACCTAGCCATTTCCCCAACACACATTTCATGTGTGCTTTGAGACAGTTTTTGTTTGTTTGTTTGTTTTTTTCTCTGTGTAGCTCTGGCTGTCTTGGAACTCACTCTTTAGACCAGGCTGGCCTCCAACTCAGAGATCCTCCTGTCTCTGTCTCCCAAGTGCTGGGATTAATGCCATCCTCCACCACTGCCTGGCATGGACAGAGTTTTGTTTTACAGATCTGGCTGGCCTTAATGTGTAGCACTCCTCTACCTCCTCCTCCTCTTCCTCCTCCTGAGTGCAGCCATCTCAAGGAAGTCCAGCACCTCCAGCTAAGACAGTGCATCAAGTTTGCCTCTCACCCACCTTTCCACAGTGGGGTATGCGTATGAGGCAGTGTATGCATGCGCCCACAATGTCAGAGGGCCTCTGCCTTCATGCAGCATGTATACAGCCGGGCTCGGTGCATGCAGTCAACTCGGGCTGCACAGTGAAACAGCAAACCAAGCTGGGTGTGGAGATGCACACCTGGAATCCCAGTACTCAGGAGGTGGAGGCAGGAGGATCATGAGTTCAGAGTCATCTTGGCTACATAGTAAATTGGAGGCCAGCCTGGGCTACATGAGACCCTATCTCAACAAACAAGTCAAAAGAAAGATGTAGGCTCCAGACCATGCAGATCCTAAACATAAGAGCGGTAACTGAGCTAGCCTTTGGTTCATGGCCAGTCTCCTCGTTGCTGGGATTCCAAGTGTGTCTGCCCTGCCCCGACTGGCTCGTAGCATTTTAGTAAGGACTATTTTGAACATAAACAATAGATAGAGATTGTTTTATAACTTATATCTTTCCTTTTTTGTTGTTGTTGTTGGTGGTGGTGTGTGTGTGTGTGTGTGTGTGTGTGTGTGTGTGTGTGTGTAGGCAGGCCAGAGGACTTCAGTTGTCATACCTCAGAAGCCATCCACCTTATTTTTTGAGACAGGGTCCCTCACTGGGCCCTGGGGCTCACTCATTAGCTGAGGTTGGCTGGCAGTCAGTTCCTGGGATCCGCCTGTCTCTCTACCTTCCCAGTGCTTGGATTACAGTAGCGCACATGCTCACACCCAGCCTTCTGTGTGCTGGGGTTCTGGGGATGGGATAGAACTCTGGTCCTCACACTTGCATAGCAAGCCACGTCCCCAGTCCGTAACTAATACCTTTCTGTTCATCACTGATGTTACTTGCTAATGACCAAGTTTTTTAATAATGAAAGTATAATCTAAACATTGTTATTCACCAACACAAACTGTGTGCAATTTCATAGGTTTTGATTCATTCACAAAGGCCGCAGGCTAGCGACATGGCTCAGCACTTTCTGCCAAGCCTACCAACCTGAGTTTGATCTTCAATGAAAAGAGAGATCTGACTTTCGAAAGTTGTCCTTTGACCTCCATTGTCCTCTGTGTCATGTGTGCATGTACATGTGTGTATGTGTACATACACATGTAATAAGTAGATAAATAAGTAAAAATTAAATGTAGCTTGACGGTGGTGGCTCATACCTTTAATCCCAGCACTGGGGAGGCAGAGGCAGATGGATTTCTGAGTTCGAGGCCAGCCTGGTCTACAGATTGAGTTCCAGGACAGCCAGGGCTACACAGAGAAACCCTGTCTTGAAAAAAAAAAAAACAAAAAAACAAAACATAAACAAACAAGCAAGCCAACAGCCATCCCCGTCTCCCAAAGGGTTTTTTTTCCAAGTTCCCATAGCATCTTTTTGTCCTACCCCAGAGTCATTAATGGCTCCCATTGTCACATCTCTTGTCCCATTTCTCCGCCCTGGCCTTTTTTGTTTTTGTGGTACTGGAGCAGGTGCCACCTTGAGTACATTTAGGCACTTGCTGTACCCCTGAGCTGCATCCCCAACACTTAGCACACATTTCTCACGGAATGGTGGGTCAGGAATCCGAGGGCGCTCAGCAAGTGTCTTGGTGCTGGGGCTGGTAAAGCTGTCACTGTGGCCTTTTCACTGGAGAAGAGCTGCCTCCGGCCTTACTTTGCCAATGGTTGTCAGGATGCTGGACCGAGGCCCTGGGGTCTCTCTGGGGTTGGCCATTCGCTAGCTGCTGGCCACGTGGGCTTGGTTCCTTGCCATGTGGCTACTCCATTCTGGAGGAGATGGGGTGTGAACAGTGTGGCAACTGGCTCCATTAGACCAGCAGGTGAGAAGACCAGAGAAAGCCAGCGAGCTGAATCCAGGGTTGGATCATTTGTCCTTGAAAGTGACGGGTCCCTCACTTCTGGAATTCTGTTCAGTAGAAGCAAGTCACCAGGGTTACCCCAACGTCACACATTGGTGTAGATAGCAGGAGGCCTAGATCCCCGGAAAGCACTCTGGAAGTGGCCAATACAATTTTGATTTCTTATTTTGTTGTTAGACAGGACTGTGTAGCCCTGGGTGTCCTGGAACTTGCTATGTAAACTAAGTTGCTCTGCAGCTCAGAGTCTGCTGCTTCTGCCTCCAGAGTGCTGGGATCAAAGGTGTGCATACTCACACCCATCTTATTTTAACGTTTTTACACTTGTTTAGTGTGTGTGGTCAGAGGACAGCTTAGAAGTTAGTTCTGTCCTTGAAACATGTTGGCTCCTGGAATTCTCAGGTAGTCAAGCTTGGCGGCAAGTGGGTTTACCTGATGAGCAATCTCACCAGCTCTCTGTGTCTGAATCTGTCTAAATCTGTCTGTCTGTCTAAATCTGTCTGTCTGTCTATCTGTCTATCTAATCAATCATATCTATCTATCAATCAATCAAGACAGGCTCTCACTCTGTAGCTTAGGCTAGGTGAGAACTCAAGGCAGTCATCCTGACTCAGCCTCCAGAGTAGTGAGTGGGATTACAGGTGTGAGCCACCACACCCAGAGGTCAAGTTACCAGTCCTCAAAGTAGCACCACTGTTTACCACTCTAGTCTGCAGCATGGCCTGGGAGAATGGAACTGGTAAACTAAAAAGGCTAAACTAAAGGCTTGTGTGATAGCCATCTTTATTGAGAGCATCAGACATTTTATACCCTGAGGGCTAAGACGAGTTGCCTGAGTGAAGAGTACAATCACAAGGACGAGCTGCAGCTGGGAAACCTTGTTTTTCCATAGAGCCACATGACTAACAAGAGTGGAAGTCCGTCCATTCTTATTTGCTACACCTGGTAGGAACACACAAACACATTTCAAAACACAGATGTCTTGAAGAAATTACGTCACAAGACTCCTAGGTCATTTCCTTGGCGTTTTCTCACTATTTTCTCAGAGTTCTCAGAGGGCTCCATTCTTGGACTGTGTTCCAGCACAGCACAAGCTGGGGAATAAATTTCAAAACAAGAGGCGAGCCAAGGATGTGGTGGTACAGGCCTTTACTGTCAGCACTTGGGAGGCAGAGACGATGAGATCTCTGTGAGTTCAAGGCCATCCTGGTCTCCATAATGAGTCTCAGGACAGCTGAAGCTGTATAGAGAGCTCCTGTTTCAACCAAGCCTACCAAAACCAAAACCAACATGTCCCAGCGTAGCACATGAGCCTGTGGGGTCAGTTCAGATTCCATCATAGCAAGGACTGTATCCACACAGTGGTTTCCAGTGTCCTGGTGACCTGGCTCCCTGCTCGTTGTCTTTGTCTGTCTGTTTAAGGGTTTTTGTGTCTGTGCTGTGTCTGTGCTTGTGAGTGTAGGTGCCCTCAGAGGCTGGAGGAGAGTGTTAGTCCCTGGGGCTAGTTACAGGGAGTTGGGAGCTGGCAGATGTGGGTTCTGGAAACTGAACTTGGGTAAGCTGAAAAAGCAACAACACTCTTTGTTTTTTGTTTTTTTTTTTTAACTTTTTTTAACTTTTTTTTTTTTTTTTTTAGATTTTATTTATTTATTTTATGTATGTAAGCACACTGTAGCTGTCTTCATACACACCAGAAGAGGGCATTGAATCCCATTACAGATGGTTGTGAGCCACTGTGTGGTTGCTGGGAATTAAACTCAGGACCTCTGGAAGAGCAGTCAGTGCTCTTAACTGCTGAGCCATCTCTCCAGGCCCCAACAACACTTTTTTTTTTTTTTTCGAGACAGGGTTTCTCTGTATAGCCCTGGCTGTCCTGAAACTCACTCTGTAGACCAGGCTGGCCTCGAACTCAGAGATCGGCCTGCCTCTGCCTCCCAAGTGCTGGGATTAAAGGCGTGCACCACCACCACCCGGCAACAACACTCTTAAAAAACCATTTTTTTTCCTCTTTTTCTTTTCTTTTGAGGCAGGGTCTCATTATGTAGCCTTAATGGGCCTAGAACTTTGTTATGTAGACCAGATTGGCCTTGAACTCACAGAAATCTGTCTGCCTCTGCATCCTGAGTGCATGGCTTATCCTCCCCCCAACCCCCTTCCCTCTCTCTTAAAGGGCAGTGCTTTAATTCATAATACTGGCTGGCCTGGGACTCTATTTAGATCAGGGCCTCAAACTCACAGAGATCCTCTGCCTCCTGTGCTGGGATGAGAGGCATGAGCCACTACACCTCTAACTCTCCTGTTCCCTTGTCATATCCCTTCCCACTGGAGGATGCTCCCATCTTCCATTGCCTAGCTACCTCTCCTTACCCTTCAGAGCTTAGGAAAAGTGACACCTCCCCCCCCACTCCAATGCCAGGCCAGCCTCTTAGAGCCTCCTGGAAATCCTCTCTACACTTTGGTCTAGCACAGGCATAACGAGGTGATTACCATCTGGCTCCCTTCTGTGTCCCAAGGCCTTCTTAGGAAGTGTAGTGAGTGAGAGATGCTGGGGAGACCTCTGTGGAGTTTGTGAGTGAGCCGGGACCCCAGTCAAGGGCTCTTTCTGCTTCTGGCTGGCTTGTCCTAACCATGCCTACCCTTGTCTTTGGTGCAGGTGAATGTCCCTCGGTGCCTGCCTTTCTCCGGAGTAGGCAAGGTGAAGCAAGTAGCCTGTGGTGGCACAGGCTGTGCTGTACTGAACGGTGAGAGCCACTTCTTGGCAGCTCTGTGGGAAGCACTGGGCAGATCAGGGAGGGAAGGGGACAGCTGTGTGCTTCAGAGACTGCAGATGGCGGCCTGCAGAGGGGGTGTGGCTGAGGGCTCCTGTACTAGTTCAGTGACTCCAGGTAGGGGTGGTCCCAGCAGGTTCATAGCTCATGATATAGATGCATAGACAGCCACAGGGACTGGCCGTTTTATAGCACGTCTCTGGACCCTGCAGCGGGGATCAGACCTAGGCCCCTATGCATACTAGGGAAGTCTAGGCAGATGCTTTACTCCTGAGCTACATTACATGCCCAGGCTCTCGTGTGTGAAAAGTCTGCTCTGTTACTGGGCTCTACCCCTAGCAGCAGAATTGCACTTGTTATAGCCAAGGCTGCAGAGAAGCTTAGTGGTAAAGCCCATGCTAGAAAAGCCAGATAGTGTCCAAAGCACTGTGCCTCCCAAAACCAAAAAACCCCCCCAAAGCCCCCAAAAACCAAAAGTAAGTAAGTAATGGTGGAGGGGTGGTGGGAAGACAGGAAAGGAAGGGGAAAGGGAAGAAAAGGAAGCTTGACGTGGTGCAAGGCTCTGACCTCCAGTACCCAGCACCTAGCACCCGGCACCCAGCACCCAGAAAGCTGAGGTAGAGGTTACACACTCTTGGTCAGCGTGGACTGTAGAGAGAGTCAAGTGGTTAAGAGCACTTGTTCTTGTAGAAGACCCAGGTTCAATTCCCAGCACCCACATGGCAGTTCACAGCCTCCTCAGGCATCAGACCCCCATGTGATGCACTGATACACATTTGAGCAAAAGACTCACATAAAATGAATCTCAAAAAACTAGACAAACAAACAACTAAAACAAAACCTTAAACTGCCGATCCCCCCAAAACAAGTTAAAAAGCATTTCTAAGAGTTTTAAGAATCTGGTTGGGGGCTGGAGAGATGGCTCAGTGGTTAAGAACACTGACTGCTGCTCTTCCAGAGGTCCTGAGTTCAGTTTTCAATTCCCAGCAACCACATGGTGGCTCACAACCATCTGTAATGGAATCTGATGCCCTCTTCTGATGTGTCTGAAGACAGCGACAGTGCACTCATATAAAACAAATAAATAAATCTAAAAAAAAAAAAGGATTTGGTTGGAATGGCTTGGGTGCATGATTCTCTGATCAGTGTGAAATTTGGAGCTGTTGCTGGGGAGGTCCATGTTTTTATGCTCCCAGTGGGTTTTATGGATACCCTCCCCTTATTACCCTTAAGAAGTGGGTTGTTTGTGCTCTACGATTGGCTTTCTACCCAGTCAGACTTCCCAGGCAAGTCAGGGAGAGGATTATTTGCAACCTGCCAGCACAGTGGGTCTCAGTATCCCAAGGTGACCTTCATGCCTCCACCTCCTTAGTTCAGGGATTACAGGCATGCTCTGCCATGCCTGGTTTCTGCAGTCTGGGGTCAGAACCAAGGGCTTTATGCACACTGGACATACATTCTACCAGCTGACCCCCCACCCCAGCGCCTGTAGTTTTCATGGTAAGGGAGGGCTCTGCTTGGCTTGACTCACAACCACTGTTTTTATTGTAGAAGAAGGACACGTTTTCGTCTGGGGCTATGGAATTCTTGGGAAAGGACCAAACCTCCTGGAAACAGCTCTTCCAGAAATGATCCCACCTACACTCTTTGGCTTGACAGAGTTCAATCCTGAAGTCCAGGTTTCCCAGATCCGATGTGGGCTTAGCCACTTTGCTGCACTCACCAGTAAGTTACTGGCTGCACAGCCAGGCCCAAATCTGTTCCTTCTTAAGCTGGGAACTCTCAGCTTCTGTCATCAAACTACATCCATTTATCCATCCATCCACCCATCTTTCTGTCTGTCCTTCCCTCTAGTCTGCATCTATCATTTCTGTCCATCCATCACCCATCCATCCATCATCATCCATCCATCATCCATCCATCATCATCCATCATCATCCATCATCATCCATCCATCATCTATCCATCATCCATCCATCCATCCATCCATCATCCATCATCCATCCATCATCCATCCATCATCCATCCATCATCATCCATCCATCACCCATCCATCCATCATCATCCATCCATCACCCATCCATCCATCATCATCCATCCATCATCCATCCATCATCATCCATCATCATCCATCATCATCCATCCA